TTCCGACTCGGCCATTTGCATAGAAATTACTTACGCTTGTCTCGCGGGAAGTCGTGCCGCAACGCCGATCACGACCGAGTTTTCCACCGTTTCCATCTTTTCTTTTCCTTTTCCTCTCGCCTGTTTCTTCTTACCCACGCGTGATCTCGCGCCGTTAAATAATAATCGGGTGGAACGAGGGGAAAGCCTCGTCGCGAGCGAATCGAGCGGGCTCTCGCCCCCGCGCTGGCGCGGCTCGATGTCAGTAATTCTTTTGACATCGTCGAAATCCAAATATTGGAGGCAAACAACGCGCTGTCTCTGCCGGCACCGCGACGGCGACGGCGGCGGCGGCGGCGGCGGCGGCGGCGCTGCGAATTTATTTGCACGCCGCTCGAACCGTTTAAACGTTCTCCACTTGTCGCGCGCTCTCTGTCGCGCGGCAGAAGCGAGTCGCGAAGCGAGAAGAAGAGGAGGGAACAGCCGTTAGGCCAGCGCGTGGAAGGGACCACGGGGCGAGGCGGAGAGGAATTTTATTTCCGCTCACATTAATTTCAACGACGCAGAAGAAGACGGTCGCCACAAGGCGCAGCTTGAAATTACGAATATTATGACTTCAACCAGTTCTCAGAATTCTATGTTTTTCATTCTTTAATCTCGGCCTCCTCGTGTTTCACACCATATCTTATGAACACATTCGCCCTCTTTCTAGCCGCGCTGCCTCTCCTCGTTCCTCCCGCGACGCCGTTCTCTGCTCGCGGCGCGCAGCGTCGTCGCGGGTTCTTCGTTCGTTACCGGCCTCTGGCTGCCTAGAGGACCCGGTGCTGCTGCGCGCCAGCACGCGAACGAAAGGAGAGCCCCTAGGGACTTTCCTACCACCACCGATTCTTCCACTTGCCGTGCCTCTACGTGCCTTCTGTTCCTCCACGCTCACACCGTGTCCCAGACACCGCTCCTCTTCGAATACCACGCTGGTTCGACCCGCTCGGGATAAATCCACTTTGCTACGACGAAAGTCGCAACAATTTTTCCACGCGCGAAAATCCGATAATTTCCCGAGCGAAACGAAGGACGGTCACACGTGGCCTCCGTCGTTTTCCACGACGACGATCGAGACACCCACTCGAGAAAACGCTGCCGAGAGAGATAAGCGTCGCTTATTTTAAGGCCTAAGTCGCTGGCGAATTTGAATAATCTACCGGTATTCCAGCAGACACTTGAAAAGCCACGAGGCCCGTCCAGCCCGCAGGCCTGGCAACATTACGTTCGAGTGTTTGACGAACGGACGCGTTACGTCGCCTGCTTTTTTGTTTTCCCGCTTCTGGTATCGGCATCAGCGTCGAGCTATGTCGAGTGCGCGGGCAACCTCTCTCGCGTCTCTCCTTTCCTCTGCTCGGCTCCTCTGCTCGTTGCCAGAATCTCGCGATCGTTCCACCGACCCTAACCCGGGCGTCGCTGATCCCTCGGTTCGCGAACGTTGACATTCGACCGGAATCGGCGAACCGGGGGCCGCCGCCCCAGTGCCCCTGATTCCGATTTTTCTCAGTCACCCTCTGGTCCGGTCTGTCCCGGCTAGACACGCGGTTCGCGCGCGCGCGCGCGTGGTTTCTTCCGCTCCCGGAGGCCATTGTCGGCGGATCTCTCGACGACTGGATGACTCGGCGGATGATTTACCGGGGACGCGGCAACGACGGTTTGTTTCTGGGTAATTTATTTCGCGATCGGTACTCGGACGTATTACGAGCTTCGAGATTCATAGATCTCTCTCCAACTACGAGCGTTTTCCTCGACTCGCCTCGGACAGCTCCGGCTACGTCGTAGGCGATGAAAAGACTTATCGCGAACGGCAGACGCGCGGACATTGTCACGCTGCTCGCGCGCTGCCAACCCGTAAATTACGCGGCGGGAAAAACCGGAATCCGCGATAAGACGGAAGGACGCGTTACGGGTTGCGACGAGGTTCGTTAAGGATTCTAGGTTTCACGGTTAGGCAGGAAAAAGGAGGCGAGTGCTATGAAAATGTCTCAATTTCCATCGGGCATCGCGAGCCAGCCACGACCGGCTCTTCCATTCGCGGTAACCAGCCTGAATTCATCATCGTCCAGGCGTAACGCGAGAATCGTTTGCGCAACTTTTTCCCCCCCGCTAATCACCCCGCAGCAGCCCCCGTCCACGCGTGTCTTTCATTCAAATTGAATCGTTGGAAGAGCTAGCTCGAGCTTTTTCCCACCGGTGGCGAATAATGGCCCGAAGAATTTCAAGGTTTCCCGCCGCGGGCACTTTCCGCGAGCGCGCGCGCGCGCGCGTTCTCGTCCTTTATTCTCGGCGAGTCGCAGACCCCGGCACCCCGAGAATCTAGGCCAGCGAGCCGGGAATTTCTCTTTTCTCGAATCCACCGGCCGGGAAAAAGGAAGGAAAACGAGCGGACAATGATAGATCCCGGAGGGTGAGTTCTCGCGTCGCGAAATTCCTCGCGATTCGACGCGATTAGAAGACGCGGGGAACGCGTCGCACCGCGCGATGGAAAGTTCGGTTGGCGAAGCGCGGGAGCAGAGGGGTGGGAAAAGCCGTGGATTTAATCTAGAAGCGAGAGAGAGAGAGAGAGAGAGAGAGGGAGGGAGAGAGAGTAGTCCCGTGGCGCGACAAAGACAACCGCGGTCCCATTGTTCAGGGTCGATCGCGCTGCACTCCGATTCGACGGCCCGGTTCTACGCGTACGTACATGTGCAAACAGGGTGATAATGTATTCAAGGTCCGCCCCGTGGCCGATGGTGGGGGTGAAACGGGGCGGCCCGCTCGCTATACGTACTGTAACAGATGTTAATTATCCCTTCTGTGTATAGTCGGCAAAAAAAGAGCCCGGTCTCTCTCTCGCTCGGACATATCGTCCACTCGTGTACATCCCCGTCGCGAAGGCCTCTCTTGTATCCACGCTTGCGAGCGTGTCACGTGGCCCGCCTAGCACGCACGCTCCAATCGCCTTCGACTTCCGCCCGTGCCCGCTAGGCAAATTCGACCGGATCTTTTTGGGCCAGTCGCGTCCGTTTTTGTTCCTCCGTTTGCCGTCCGTTTGTCGTGTGGCACTCCGAGCCACCCCTGAGCCCCCCTTAAAAATTTCCGATATCGAGTCGTTCGCGTCACTCCCCGAACGAGCGACAGGAGGGAGAGAGGGATGGATCGGTCACCTGGTATATATACACGACGACGCTGCTTCGCGCGCCCCCCGAGTGATCGCGATTAGTAAACGGCGAGCGGAATGCGGCGGAGCGGTGAAAGTGGAGAGGAACGGGGAAAGAGAGATTCGCGAGGGGGGTAGCTGGAGGAAGGATGAATCGCGGTCTCGCGAGCTGGCGACAGAACGGAAGACGTTCTTGTCGTGGAGGGTAAGATGGAATTTCGGTGAGACGTCGGGGGAAAATGGTTTCTTGTCGCGCTGCTGAACGGTCGCGTTGCCATATTCGTCGGGCGGCCTTAATGGGCCAGTTTTAGTGCGGAAATAAATAACCGATAATGAACCGAGCAAAAACGGAACTAACGATTTTCAGGCCGAATTAGGCAGCGAGCCTCGGATGCCTGCGACCTCTCGCGCAGTCGTCCGAATCGATTGAGAGAGCTAACTGGTAATGAACGGACCCAAGCAAATGATTAACGACGAAACTGTCGTTGAGTCGCGGGGATACACCGATACGCGGGTACGCTGGTGCTCTGGGGACCGGCAACGAATCGAATGGTCGCGCGGGCCTCGGAAACCAGATTATCCCCCATTTCTCTCTCTCTCTCTCTCTCTCTCTCTCTCTCTCGCGTGCGCGCGCGACTCGCGTCGGGACGCCATGACGAAAGGACGCTCGGTTTCGCGAACGTAGAAACGAATTGTCCCTCGTTTCGCGTTATCGCGGGCCCCCGTCTACTCCGGCTGACCGAGCAGCGCTCGTATATCAGCGTAGCTTTTGTTACGGCGACGTGCCTTTGTTTTCGCCTTGTTCTCGCGTCTCGTTGCAGCGTGGTGCGAACGTGGTGGTGGACGGGTTCTCGGTTCGGCAGGCGGTACGTAACAACAGGCCCGGCCACGGCACACAAGGGGAGTTTCGCTGAACTCGCTTTAACCCACTTTCGCACTGACACAGAAATAGATAACCGAGAAAGAGAGAGAGAGAGAGAGGGTGAGAGAGAGGGAGGGAGAGACGCGTCGGGACATTCTTTCCTGCACGTTCCGACGATCGTGTCAGCTGTTCGAGGAATCATCGTTGCTGATCACGATCGAGCGTGTGTTGTGTGATAGCCGTTAACGAGATTCGGGGGAATTTTTCGCCATCGCGTGGCGACGGAGGCTAAACGCGGAAAGTAACCGCTGAATGGTTTGGCGTTTCTGTTTCAGAATGCATTGAAGAGCCGACAGGTTGAGGAGATTCGAGATGTCCGCCGTAACCAGCCCGTATGGCCCCAGTAAGACACTCCCTTTTCTAACGTACCATCGCAGAGTACCAACCCCTCGTTACGATGCTTTAGCGAGGAAACGTAGGCAGCCTTGCAATTGCGTCATGCGCCGTCCCGTTTGATCGAATCGTAATAGCCGCGCGCGGCTCCTCCAACGATTCCGAGAACGTTCAATTAACGTTCGTGCGGCCCGGCTGAATTCTAATTAATGTTAAAAATTCATTCGCGACAAGCGAGCAGAGCGGCCTTCGCGTCGCGCTGCAAGACGGGTGCCCAGTTAGAGATCGCTCGAATCCAGGCAAATAGCGTTTGTCGTTAGCCATTGGTCCTTGGAATTCTGCCCCGGTCGATGATCCTTGGCCGACGTGATCGTTCGCCATCCGGGCCTGGATTACAACCGAGAGCCGATCGCCCGATTTCGCTCCTCCGATCGCAATTATTCCATCCTCCGCTGGAACCAAAGTATACACACGCAATAACGCGATATAAGTAAACGCATCTGGAACGATAGAGAGAGAGAGAGAGAGAGAGAGAGAGAGAAAATAAAAATAAAAATAAAAATAAAAATATATATATATATATAGAGAGAGAGAGAGAAAGATCGGAAACGAAAAGTGCAAACGACTAGGATCTCGGCGCTTCGCAACTCTCGCCGTTTTGACGAACGTCGTGCCAGGGTCCCCGCGGATCCCGAACTAGCCCCTGTCTCGGTCTCTGATGCCCCGGTTCCTTTCCCATCAGCGGAGATGCTTTCCGACTCGGTGTACAACTACGCGACGACCCGGCGGGGGACCGCCGACCAGGACAGCGACTCCCAGTACGAGGGCCAGGCCCAGCTGCAGATCACGAGCATCCAGAAGCCGCGCAACAAGCGCAAAAACTTCAAGCCGATAAGCAGCCGGATGGTGGAGGTGTCCGATGAGTCCGAGAAGGAGGACGAAGAACTGGAGGCGATAGAGGAGAGCTCGAGCGAGATACTCGAGTACGAGAGGAAGACGATGCTGTTGCCAGCGGAGGATAGGTCGAAGCAGAGGCTGAACAACAACGAGGTCAGCCCCATGGACCTGTCCGTTGCCACCAGGCCGCCGTCCTCCGAGGCTGACGACGACAGCGGCGATTCCCTCAGGCACAAGTTCATCCTGGAGCAGCTGAGATCTCAGAAACTCTACTCCCCTGGTACCGAGGTAAGTCCCTCTCTCTCCCGTCTCTCCGTCTGCGTACGCGCAACGACTTTTATTTACGTTTCGATGGTGTGTTACGCCACGACGCGTGTTTCATCCGTCGTTTGTCCAGGCCAGGAGTCCCAACTCGGAATCGTCGGAGAAAAGCGGAAGCGGTGTCCTGGACGCGGAATCCGGGCGGTTGGACGATACCCCGTTCGAGGATGACCGAGGGCAGGATGCCGACGGTGAGACCGAGTGCGAGGAGAGAAAACCCTTCGAGGGAATGAGGGAGTACGCCGAATCGACTATGCAGGAGCTGTTGGCGATCTACGGGCTGGCGGGAGGAGAATTGGCCAAGTCAGTGAGCAGACAGCTACCGCCGACCTTCCTGAACCCCGCGACTGGTCATCAGCCTCACGGTGAGTCTCGCTTCTGTGCTCCTCTTCCTCTAATTTTTCACCCACTCTCTCTCTCTCTCTCTCTATCTATCTCTCTCTCTTTCTATCTCTCTCTCTCTCTCTCTCTTTCTTGTCATCCGCTTTCCCCCATTTCGCGGTGAGAATCGCTGGAAGCGATGGAAGCCTAATCGATCGGAAACTCGTTCTACTGCGCGTTCGGTGCCTAACAGGAGATTCACCTAGAGAGTAATTAGAGGCAAACAGGTTAACGGTCGTTAACAATCGCGGCGCGAGAACGAAGCAGAACTTGTCGTTGTAGGTTCGCGCGAAGGCCTAGAGGCTATTAACGCGTGGGCGTTGCTCGACGTAGGAGAAGAGAGACGGAGAGGAGGAGGAGGGTAAAGAGAGAGAGAGAGAGAGAGAGAGAGAGAGAGAGAGAGAGAGAGAGTGAGAGAGGATAGAGGCCCGTGGATCCTCGATTTTCAAGGATCCCACGAAATAGCATCGGTCGAAGAGCAGCAGCGCGGCACCAGCAGCAACGGCAGCAACGGGGCACCGGTGGTGGTCGTCGCTTCGGGTTCCTCGAATCGTTATTATTCGCGGCAGGACTCCTCGCGCGCCGCGGTACTGTTCGCTGAAGAGAAATTAGAGGCGCTCTCGGTATTCGACGAAATCGTTAGCCGAGCCAACGGTGGCACGCTGGACGATTGGTTGGCATCGAATTCGGGGTTGGGCTATACGGACAATTGACAACTGTAACTGGCTGGCATTCGCGATCGTACTTGGCGTAAAATCAATTTCGTCCGTGGTGTGTACCACACACCGCGGCTCTCTACCGGAGTAGTAGCGACCTCGGCGTTTCTAAACCACGCTTTTATCGCCCCGGCTATGGAAAAACTGTCCGGGTGTTAACGAGAAATTAACCTGGCCTGGATCGATCGGCCACGCCGACGGGATTCGTCGTTTCTGCGATCGTAACGGGTTACCGTGCACCGGCTTATCGATTATGCGACCGTTCCTTCGCTCCTCTCTCGGGACGGTCTCGATAGATTCTCGAGCCGCGGAACGAGGTTACCGCGAAACCAGTCCGATCGATCGATCCGCGTGCAAAGAATTAACCGCTTTTGTTATCGAATCGGCCGAGAGATATCTCGCCTTTTGTTCCTCCTATCGCGGGACAAGTAAATAAACGAACGGAACTAAACTCGGTTACACGGCTCCGTATCGATTTTCCCTGGAATTCCGATCGCCGTATTCGACTCGCTTCGTCGCGCGCCATCGTCGCCGAGATATCCAGCGAGATACCGTGAAATCTCGCGAAAAGACTCGCGCGGTTTCCCCGTTCGCGGAAAATCCGCAACGGAGAGGCGGCGACTCGGCCGCGAACCGGCTAGTTTTTAGATTAGACTGTACGTGTGCACCAGAACAGAATGTGGCACTTACATATTGCCAGTGCATCGCATATGCGCGCACGTGAATATGCGATGGCTCTCGCAAGATGGCCGACTTATAACTCATAAAGTCGGTCGGACTGCGCGAACCGTTGACTGCCTCGCGATCGATGGATGCCTTTGAGATCAGCCAGCGTCATCGTTTCCCGTTGCCGCGCGTCTCGCGTGGGTTGACAGTCTCACGAATTCCTCGCGGTGTGTATTGTATGGTACGCCTCGGCTCGACGCGCCAGCCCGAGCGAGCGAGCGGACGCGCGCCAGCGCGCTCTCTAGCCTGCGCACACGCGGCAGACTAACGAGTCAATTTCGCTATTCTTCGTACGCTTTTGCCTGCGAGATACCCGTGGACGTCGAGTTTTTGAATTACCTTCTGCCACGGCTGATTGATTCATAGCCAAAGTCGTAGCCGGATTAACGTCTTCCCGGCGAATTGAGTTTTCTTCTATACGACCGGTTGCCGCGTTTCCTCCAAGCTCGATCCACCAAACCGTGCTCGTTCGCGGATTTTTCCTCCCGACGACGAATCTCGGGGACCGGGTGGAATACACGGGCGCGCGATAGGAAAAGTATGGCGGATCGCGCGAGATCCTCTAACGCGTTCCCGTCGTTAAATTCTCCGGCTGTGACTCATCGTTGTTTCGCACAGGCTAACCCTCCCGCTCGATATTCATACATTATGTAAGTTAATCTTACGTCGATGTAGAAGTACCCTAACGGGCTTTCGCGGCACCGCTCCATTATCGCTCGATTGAGTCTTTCGGCGTTGTGCCGCAGTTTGTCGCGTCCGGCCGGAGAGAATAATCTTCCATCGGATTCGATTAAATTCACGCCCCTGCTACGACGCCATCCTGCCAATTACCAGAAAACTGACCGCGTGAAATCGAATGCGACATGCCTCGTAACTCCTCGCCGGCCCCCTCCGCCCCCTCCCCCTCCTTCCTTTTCGTCAGGAATTGGGAATCTTGCTGACAAGCGTGCTTTTATCCTTTCTTCTCGCTTATGAATCTTCCCCCAACGCGTCTTTATACACCCGTCTACTATGCGCGCGCGTCTCCGTGTGTGTGTGTGTGTGTGTGTGTGTGTGTGTGTGTGTGTGTGTGTGTGTGTGTGTGAATGTGCGCGTTGAACGAACGGCGGGGATAGATCGTCGGGCGGAATATTTTCTTCGTCGAGGGTCGAGGGTAACGAGATTATAGACACGGTCCTGGATTAACCTCGCGATCGCGGGACCATCGAGATGGTGATCGAGATCGAGATCCAGATGGGCGAGGTGGTGGAAAATATCGCGGAATTTTTGCGGAGAAACCGCGACGGAATAATTGGGCGTACGATGACCCGGAATCATCGGATTCGTTAGATGCGACAGCTCGCGGAGTGACTTTCTTTTCATGGGGACCGAGCGAAAACGAGCGAAACATCGAAGAGGAGGTCTCTTTCGCGTTTTCTTCCGCTTCTTGGACGGTTTCGCCTCCTCTGTCTCTCCCACCAGCGGCCGCCACCTACACGCGCGGCCGACGCGGAACAAAAGGCTACCTCTGCGCGTTGCGTTGTATCTCGCCGATTGATACGGAAAAAATCGGCCATAATTTATCATGTAAAAGCGGCTCGCAACAGAAACCGCGTGTCGCCGGTGAATCGGTCGGGGCCGGTGGAAGGGAACGGAGGAAAAAGGAACACCGTGGTTTCTTCTGCCTCTTCAGACGTGTCCGTCTTCTCTATGAACCTTGACGTTGCCTCGAATACGCCGCGCGTATCCATTTCTTCCGTCAGGAATACATTAACCATTCGGGTTAACCTAGAAAACACGCGCTCGTTTACGTAATAATCTTAATAATTACGCGCCAGGCGAACGGCGGAGATCCTTCTCTCTCGGTGGCCGCAGAGGAGAGGAGAGGAGAGGAGAGGAGAGGAGAGGAAAAAGAGTGGAAGGCAGGAAAGGAGCAACTTTGAAGGAAAACACTCGCGCGTTAGAGAGACAGGGAGAGAGTAAAAGAGAGACGCGTAGTATTCGCGTTATGGAACAACGCGTGGAATAATGGCGATGGCGGCGGATCGATGGGTAAAAATTCGAAAAGATCGACCCACTTTAGAATGCCTGGACGTCTGGCTTTGCCATTACGCTCCTTTTTTCCCGCCTTTTGTATCTTTTTCTCCCCCTTTTCTCTTTCTTTTTCGACGGGGGTGCGAGCGGAGAAACGGCAACGGTCGAATCGGGTTAGAGGGCTGAAGCAGAGGAAGGAAGGGACGGTAATCCGGCGCGAAGAAAAGCAGAAAAGCCGCGTGTGCTGTTGCCGGTGCTAGCCGGGGCACAGTGGGGTGGAGGACAGCGATGCCTCCGTGAACCCATTAATCATTCCAGCCGGATAAAAGGCAGCAAGGATGAAAAGAGAAGACGGACAGTCGGACGGACGGCGGGCAGGCATGCAGGCGGCTGGAAGGAGAAGGATCGAGAGAGAGAGAGGAGGAGAGCACTCTTCCTTTCTTTCCTTCTGTCGCTGTTTCGCTTCGATCGTTCTCTCTCCGCCCCGCGCGCGCGCGCGCGCGCCTCCCGCCTCCGCCACGTCCCCCGGAGGATCATTTTTTATTTTGCCTCTTTTCGAAATTCGTCGGACGCTTCTATTGTCGGGGCCCACGAGAGGAGAGAGAGATTCTCTCAGACGAGACCGGACGAGGCCCGACCGAGCTCTTTTCGACGGGGAGAAGATTCATTAACTGATAACGCGATTCTTTCTTCGGACCTTCTCTTTCTCTCTCCTTGAAAATGATATCCCGCCACGGGAACCGGCCGCGAGCGCAGCCTTTTGGACACCTGTTGGGACAATGCGCTTAGAGCATCTCTCCCATCGAGGTGTATACGCGTATACGTAGTTTCGAGAAGGTAGAAGGAATCACCGTTACGGTTTCTCTCGAGTTTTCCGAGGAAAATCGGCGATCTGCCGATCGAAAATCTCGAAAACGTGTCGTGTCCGGTGACGAAGCGGTTTCGCTTGGAAACGGGACGAGACGAGAGAGTGCCCCGGGAGAATGAGGGTTCGGTCGCGGGGACGACGAAGAGAAAACTGGAAATCAGCTGGCTCGCTTTCCAACCACCGCTTCCGATTTAATTCGAGACTTTGGCGGGCCCCCGGATCAGCGGCGTTAAACGCAAGGGGGGATCTCGGATCGTTCTGGTTACGAGCTTTTATGTCTCCACGTGTAGGCCACTCGAGCACGTAGGTAGAGCGTAGGTACCGAGGAGTAGCGCGACGTAGGTCTGCCACGAGATCGAAATCGGAGCTCCTTCTTCGCCGGGAGACAAAAGGGGCCCCGGGTCCACGGATGACAGGAGGTGTCGGGAACCTTTGGGATCGGCGACCTGTTGAATCCCTTGCTCCCTCTCTCTCTCTCTCTCTCCCTCTCCTTCTCTCCCATAACCTTCAACGAATTCTGCGTTATTGTGAAAGAAGAAAAACGAACAGGAGTAGAGGGACCGGCGCGCGCTCCTCGAGAGGCCGAAATACGTTAACCCTTATCTGCCGTTTCACAAAGGAGGATTTCGGAATAATCGCGAGTCTGCCCCACGTGGCCCGT